GATCTCACCAACTTACATCACAACATCAAAATCACACATCTAATTATTTAACAATTACATAAACATTACATCATTAATTATTTAATTAACCAAAAAAATTACATCTTTATTAATAACAAATTAATTATTAAACAAAACTATTAAATATAAATTAGACAAACGTGCATTGCACGTTGCTTGCACCTAGTTGTATTTAAAAGCTTGAAAATCAAGTGTTAAGAAAATAATTTTACAAATCAAATACTACGCAAACTTATACTAAATAGCCCATCCCTCCTCTCTCCCTAACTCTCTTTACTGTCTACACTTTCCACACTAACGGCAACGACAAAACCACCAAGAGAATTACAAAAAGGGATGTGCTTGGTGTATGTGGACCCCACCCCATGTGAGGGGTTTGGACACCCCTATGTACATATATTATGTACACCAAGAATATTTCCCTTTAAATGGGGCCTTGTAGTTGGACGGACATCGTATTTCCCGTACCCGTTTTGGGGCAACGGCCCCTGTCCTTGCCCCTTTTACCTGACTAAGCAGGCAATTCCCTTCCCATTCGATTTGGGACCTCGGGTATCGTGTTGAACAAAAAATTTTGCCATCCTTAGGGGTGGAGAAGTTTTTGGTGATCGGATTTTGGGGCATATGGTGGTTTTTGGGGCTAGATATGGTGGAGATAGGTTTATAGTGATGATGGTGATGGTAGGAGACAAATCTGTAATTTTCGAAATTGTGATTTTGTGGTAGTTTTTGGTTTCATTTGTTGATATGAAGTGATCTTAGAAGGTGGTGGCTGCGGAGTGTTGATACTGTGTTTTGGAAAGGTGATGGTGACAATTATGATGGTGGTGGATCGTTCACGTGAATGTGTTAATAATTTACAATCTCGAAAAAATTCACATAATCCACATTACAATTTCAGAAAAATTACATGTCATGTAACATAAATTATATACACATCAAAAATTCCAAAAAAAATTGTTAAGATATAGAAAATTATGTACTCGTCAAAAAAATATACATTGTAGCAAAAAATAACTGATTTGAGGACAACCAATTTTGACAATAATTTCATTATTATTGTAATGTTATAATATTTATTAATTTACGTAACTTTTAAAATTCGGCCCCAAATATTCCATAGTTGTGTAATAAACCCATTTTCACAGTTTAGCCAATCAAAATAAATAGTAACCCATTTCCCTATTGGCCCAAGCCTGTTACTTTTCAAGATCTGCTGGGCCTGAAAACCTAGCCTGTCCGACCCAATATACAAAAATTGGGCCTACTTTAAGATGTAGGGTTTTACGTTAACCCTCCATATAAAATGCCAGACGCGATTCAATCACACAATTATCAGCAGATCCTGTTCGGCAGTTCCATCACCGCCCCAAACGCAGCTGTAAGTGTAACCGTAATAATTCTTCACTCGATGTCTATTCCTAATTATATTGTAAGTATGCGTGTATGTATATCAGCCTTTGTTGATATGAGGAAAATCATTTAAATCAAGTCCCATGTTTAACGCGTTCTTATGAATTCAACTGAGGTTGAAACTTACCAATTGAAACGTTTTCTTTTGTTTACTGGGAATTGAACGTTCGAATGAAGCTAAAATGTGCTGAACGCCTCTAGGTTTTTCGTTATGCTGTCTGGGTACCCTGAAAAATAATATGAGTTGAGCTTATTCAACTGCGGGAGAAAAATGAAAAAATATGAAATTCTGAATTATACCTGGTTTCCAGGTTTCTTGATATTTAGAACTTGTTGTTTTTGCTCGTGTCTGCTTCTTTTAATTCTCCCCTCAATAATGACAGCTAATTTATTTATGTCATTTCATTGATAAGCAATTTCCATCAAAATCTATATTTGACTGCTCAAATAAGTGTTAATTCTAAAAGGCTCTTAATAATTTAGTATGCGAAGAGATTCAATCTTCCTAAAATTTGTAACGAAATTTATTAGTGCGTGTGATCTGTAGATGCTTTGATATTATTCTCAATGTTGTTGATATCTGTGATATTCCTTAAATTCTTAATGCATCTGTTCAGATGCTATGGGTTCATCATCCAAATGGTCACTCTTAACAGTCTCTGTACATGTAGCATATATATCTACTATTGTTTTATTGGACTGTGTTAGGGTTTCAAAAATATTATTTTTATGGATTATTAAACCCTTGTTTGATCCCCATTATTTCAAATATACATTTTTCTCTCTTTTCTTTACAATCAAAAATTCTTCAATAAAATAATATTATATGCAAATCCAAAAATTTTCCGTATTTTTAACCACGCATTCTCCGTCAATCTACTATTCAAAAATGCATTCTTTGCAAAATAATGGGACTCAAACAAGAGCTAAGTGTGTGTGTGTGTGTGTATATATATATACACACACTTTAATCATGAAACACGTGGATGACCAGTTTGCATTTTTTTGGATTTCGTTGTCTGATTCTGATGTGCAGAAAACAAAATCTAATTTTTTATGCTGCATTCATTTGGCTGCATATATCAGTTGATTTTCTAGATTGTGCTTTAAAATTTCTTTGATTGATCATGGTTGTGGTGAGCCTATTTTAGCAGGATGGCTGTTTTAAAGGTCTAATTATTAATCTATCTGGTTTAAAATAGGTAAACCATGGTTAAGCACAACAATGTCATTCCTAATGGGCACTTCAGGAAGCACTGGCAGAACTATGTGAAGACATGGTTCAACCAGCCTGCTCGCAAGACCAGGAGAAGAATGGGTCAGTGACTATTTTTCTGCCTTCTTTCTTTCATTAAGAAAATACTTGTATAATGCTTGATTGGCTTTTAGTTTAATTACCTGTTTTACATATTTGATTGATGTCTTGATTGATTCTTGTTTGATTGATATGTTTTTCAGCCAGACAAAAGAAGGCTGTGAAAATCTTCCCTAGGCCTACAGCTGGACCTCTTCGTCCTATTGTTCATGGTCAAACCTTGAAGTACAACATGAAAGTCAGAGCTGGAAGGGGATTTTCTCTTGAGGAACTCAAGGTGAGATTTTTGAGCCAAAATGCAAGTTTGACTTCAGGAAATACCTCAAATTATTGCTGCCTCTGCGTGGTTTTCGCTGTTGCAATGGTTATGCTGATTAAGTGTGTTATTTCTTGCAGCAAAATGAATTTTGTCCAGAATGTTGAAATTTTTTAGTTGTAAATGAGTGTCTTATTGACTAGATGAATTCAAGAGATTGCATCATGGATTACCCTTTCTGATTCTTTTGCCATGTCAACGTTCTAATGGACTTGTAGATTTCTCTCTCTCTGTAGTCCAAGTTCCTAGAAGTATTTGTCATCACTTGTTCTGTTTCTTTGTGTGGTAATTTGGATGCTGCTTGTGCTGTTTTAATATCTTTCTCTATGCAACAAACAGGCTGCAGGAATCCCAAAGAAATATGCACCAACCATTGGCATTGCAGTTGATCATCGCCGTAGGAACAGTTCTTTGGAGGGATTCCAAACTAATGTTCAGAGGCTGAAGACATACAAAGCTAAAGTAGTTGTCTTCCCAAGACGCACTCGCAAATTTAAGGTACCCATATTCTTTCAGAACCCAAAAATTTATCTTCCCTTTAATATGTAGGACAGTTCAGGAATCCCTTTCCTCTCTGCAGGCTGGTGATTCTGCTCCTGAGGAGTTGGCAACTGCCACACAAGTGCAAGGTCCTTACTTGCCAATTGTACGTGAGAAACCAACTGTTGAGCTTGTGAAGGTTACCGATGAGATGAAGTCGTTCAAGGCATATGACAAGCTGCGTATTGAGCGAACAAACGCACGCCATGTTGGTGTCAGGGCCAAGAGGGCTGCCGAGGCTGAGAAGGAAGAGAAGAAATAGTGAGTTTTAGCAACTGCGGTTGTCTGAATCTGCTCTGTTTTTTGGAACTGAATTTATTTACTTTATTTGTTTGAACTTCTAGCAATTATAATGCAATTTGAATGTATGAATGTTGAGAGATTTTGTCTTAACATCATTATACGTGGATTTGCCTTCTCACGAAGTCCCTTTCTTGGTGTTTACATGCTGTTGATCAGGGAATAATTGAAATTCAGAACTATGCTGTGGTGTGAGAATTTAAATGATGTCGCTGTTTAACTATGTGAATTGTAATGCTTAAGCTTACCCTTTCCCCAACAACCACATGGGAAAATTGGAATACGAAGTCTAATCTTCTTTGTTAATAGACATACGAAAGTGCAAGTGCATTATCACTGGTGACATTTACTTCATTGTTGATAGTTTGATGCTAGGCTTCAGAATCTCGTAAACTCATTTGAAGAACTCAGCGTGAAGGTGAAATTTAAGGATCCTGTAGACTTAATTGATACAAAACCAGTAGTTGGTTTCTGGAAAAGGTTGTTCAAGCTCATATGCTGCAAGGGTTGAAAGTTTAAAGAGCTGTGCGGTCTCAAATCTCTGATTGTTCATTTTATAATTAAGATCCCTTTACAAAAATAATATGATGGTAGTCTTTGATTTGTTACAAACTGTGAATACGTAACCATCTTTCTGCTCGAAATTATGAAATCAAATAAAGAAACCACATAATTTAATACAACGCATACTAGAAGCGAGTTTTCAGAGAGCTGCTCAAGAGTGCAGTAGAATTGGCTCTCTATACCTCGTTGCAATCCACTCGAAAAGAGAAGATTTTCAATCTACACGTAGAAACTATATGAGCTTCTTCTTTCGAAAGAATGTCTTCAAATGCCATAGTTGGAGGCCAGCCACAGACAGGCAAACCAAGATAGAAAGGAAACTGAAGGTTGCCATCTTGGAATTAGTTGCTATATTGAGAGCTTGCATTTCAATCTCCCTGTGAAAGCCAAACAGGAAATGAAAAAACATTTGAGCTGTAGAAGAGCTTGTAGAAAATTACAGGAAATGGAACTAGTACGATATGCTAACCTTCACGAAGATAGAACATTTCATCGTGAATGGACGTTACTGTATCAAACAATTTCTTCAATTCGAGCTCCATTACCTGTAGGCCAAACAAACATAATTTGTATTGTCTCCAATACATTTCAAGAAAAATATGGCGCGTAAGGAGGGCTACTTTTAAGAGAAGAGTGGTGAAGTGTGGCACTGGATTCTCAAAAGGGTAAATTCTAACGGCTATTTTAAATCTTTGATCGCATCTTGTCAATTTTAAAGAATTGAACTCTTACTTCAATCTGTCCTTTCTTGGCGACATTTGACCAATCCTTAGCAGCAACACCAGATTTCCAGTCGAAATCGATTGCAACCATAAGCGCAGGCGAATGTTCTGGTGCCCAGAAACAAGCTACATAACCACCCTCCTCATTCGCAGTAAACGCGAAAGTTCCAGAAGCCACACGATCCGCATGGTGATATATCGCCTTGTGGGGCGAGGTCACCTTTATTTCAATAACAAACCGAGTCTTACTCCAAATACAACATAACCTATATTGATTTAAAAGAAAAGAAAAGGAAAATATGCAGTTGAATTGTATAAATGGCTTACGCGGACATTGATCTTGTAGGTGTCGGGAATGGGATGAGCCTCACTGGGATTGGCGACAGAGTACTTGCCGACTGTCATGGCACGCTCCATGAGATCTTCTGTTATGCATTTGGTGGTTCCGGATTGGAGATCGAAGCGCATTGAAAAAACCACTGGTGAAATTATCGTAAATGTTAGACCTAGGAAAATCAGAATAGTGGAATTGAGTTTCAACATTGTGCTGTTGGATTAAAGATAGAGAGAGAAAAATCTTAAAATATGTGGGTGAGGAAAATCTTATAAAACTATATTTGGAAAAGAAACTGTTGGAGATCCATTCTTGCTGGTTCGTTACTCTCTCACGTTTTGTTTTGAGAATTTGTATAAAAACTAAAAAGTGTAAGATAAGATGGTCATAATCGCACCATATTTTAATTACATTAAGAGTCCGTTTGATAGATAAATATGAAAATGAATTTCAATTCCAATTACATGTTAGTTGGAAATAAAAACCTATCAAACCAGTATGAATTCGTTTTCCATGAAACCAAAAAGAATGCAGTTTAAAGTAGTTGTACCTCGAAATTCGATTTTCCATTTCCAAGTTGTAATCAAATGGCTAAAGTGAAATTCGTTTTTCTCGAATATGACATTTTTCATGGAATTCGTTGCAATCAAACAATGCCAAAATGTCGTTAATTTTATTCATTATTACGCTCATATTCTCAACTTTTTGTCATCACGTCCTTATTTTTAACAATTCATAGAATAGAAAATCTTGTCTTTAATCACGGTTTCGTCTAAAAATATTATTAACGTGCTTAAAATATTAGGATCAAATGTTTAATTAAATTTTTGCATTATTATTTGTTTTGCTTATTTAAAAATACAATGGACAAAGTTTAAGAAAATTTTGGAAAGAAATCGTGATCAAGAATAATTTATGTATATTTGGGAATAAGAATGCGACAAAAAAGTTTGAGACATAAATGTAATAATGTGTAAAGGTTATGAACATTTCATGCAATTAAAATTGTGGTATGAATATATTTAGGAGTAAGATAATCGAAAATTTGTGCAGCTGGCCTCACCAAACCTATGAAATTTGAGATAATTGAAAATTTTCAATTCAAGTTTCATACATATTGAGCCCATTCCCTTCTTATTAGCCCTTTCTTCTTCTGCCTGAGGGCCAGGTTTTTATGCGACTTCACCACTCAATTTCGGTCCGGAACACAACCGTGGACGAATCCACACAAAGGGTTGCACGAAATGCATTAAAATTGAGAAGCTAATACAACACATCATTGAAGTGCTTCTTCTCCTAATTGTTCTCCGCCTAAATAATTTAATCTCATGGTAAACTCTTATATCGAATAAAAGAGTCGCTTTTCACTCGAGCACGAAGTTTGAAAAAATGAGTCCAGGTGTAGAGGCCAGCCGATCCATACTAAGGGAAAGGAAAGGCTTGGCCGTGTTTTTTTATGTTCGAGATTGCATATGAACTAAGCTAGTTTGTCCGAATTGATTTGAACTGTTTCCATTTTTCTTTTCTTTTTCTTTTTTAACTTTGAATCAGTCATTTCTATTTTCTACTTTCACTTACCCTCATACCAAAGTTTTCGTTCTTTCTCATTTTCATCTAACTTGCTCATCACCTTCTCTTTCGCTAATTTACTTCTTGTGTGCGAATTCAGCTAACGCTGAAGCATCACAATTAATGAATCCAATGCAACGTATCACGTCTAGGGTCCCACTGACGAAATATATTGAATGATTTATGTGGACAAAAATAGATGTGAACCTACAAGGTTGAATTACAATTAAGTGCTTTAATAATAATGCCAGTGATGTAAGAACACGGACTGCTGCTTTTAGATTGTGCCTCTTGTAATCTGGAACTTTATTATAGATGGTTTATTGGGGGCATAACCCCCAATTCTTTGAACTTATGGTAGAATAGCCCTTATCGTTTTAAATTGATTGAAAATAAGAGGTGATAAATAAGTTTGGCCCCTTAAATTTTTGGATAACATGATGTTGCACAAATTGTGAATATATAACTAACTATCGTGATGGAATTATGTTTTTCAGTTTACCTTTTCGGAAGAAATTGATCAGGTAAAGTGCTTGTAGAAGCTCGTTTTTTCCCTTATATTCTATGCATAAAGACTTGACTGTAGGTAAAAGACTTGACTACAGTTAAAGTGTTTGTAGAAGCTCGTCTACCCCCCCACCCACCCCCCACCCCCACACACATATTCTATGCATAAAGACTTGACTATTCCCAATTTATTTTGAGATTGCTCAATAGGTGCTACTTTATTGACTTTCTATACTATTTAATAGAGTCAATCTTGACTAAATTAGGGTCAAAGTTGGTCTTCACATTTGTAATCCACTATGAAAGGAAAATTTATGGAAAGGAGTTACAAGGAAAATGATTGAACAATTGGAAAAAGACCATGACACAATATAGTTTGGACTGGAATTGGTTCGATAGAAAATGAATGGGACCAACATAGTTGGGACTATATAATCGGACTAAACTGGATTAAGACCATTACTCAATTCAATACTGGAAATTACACCACATACACTTTTTATATAACATTATTCATATTTTTCCTCACATGTTCTTTTATTCCATTAATACTGAATTATAAAAGTAAAAATGGTAATTTTTAAATCACGTCTCTTTAGACCATAACCATTAAAAAAAATCGGCATACATGCTAACAATCATGCTACATGTACATTTTGCCTTAACAAATTACTTACATAAATCTTGTATTATTGTGTGATCCATTATTTTTCATATTGATCTTATTTTCTCGTCTTTATTATTTGACCTGGTTCTCAATAAATTACTTACTTTCTAAACGTATCATGTGATGTTAATTGGACGTATAACATTACAAAGTCACATAATGTTAGTCATATTTGTTAGGTATTAAATGTAATTGACTATTCCGTGAACAAAAATGAATAGAATTGATATGTTGTAAAAAGTCAAGGAGTATTGTGCAATTAGTATAAATTGTGATGTTTTAGGTCTAGGGTTCGAGAATAGAAAAGAAGGAAAAACGACGAGTTTTTCGCTAGCTTCTCGTCAAGGTTTGACTCAAACGTCAGAAACAAAAATTTCATCGCTAGACCATCACTTCACTTTCGCTCGAACGACGACCTATCGCTCGACTGTCGCTGAACCTTCACTCGAGCGACAGTGTTATTAAGGAAATTTATGTTTCATTTTTTAAAAGCTTTTTGTTCGGCCCATCATTCCCTAACCTATATATAAATAGTCAAATGCCATAGAACGTGATTTTGTGAGGTTGAACATTGAGAGAAACATATTCCTTTGAGATCATCTTCATATAACAAAATCTGAATCTACACACATATAAACAAGCATTATAGGTAAGTAATTACATTTTTTTTATTTTTATTTTTTATGTTGAAAGGACCATGCCTTGTTTAGAATAAATGCAACGCGAACGTATGGAACGAATTTTGTAATTCAACTAGTTGTAATTTTTGAATTTTTTTTGGAATAAACTTCAATGGAAAGATGGTAGGTTAACTTCTTAATCTTACATGACAAATGACAAGTACAGGCGTCAGCCAAGCCAATGAGAAAAAATAATCAAGCTAAAAGAGTGATTCACACACGAATGATACAAGACGACTATACCAGTTTGATTTAATTAAAAATAAAAAAAAATTAATAAAAGTTGATTAAATGAAATGCATGGTTGAAAAATTGATAAAAGTTGTGCCCAGAAGATATTCGGTTGAAAATGAGTTTTTTTAAAAAAAAAAAATTTAGTAACAGGATGTGATAGCTAAAAAATTCTTAAGCAGCTCTTGATCCCAAAAAAAAAAACACAACTAGAAAGTGAAATATTATGGATCCAATTGTTACAGATAGCAGATTCTGACCTCTTTGCTCTATTATGAAATATTAGTTATTGTGGATCCAATTGTCACAGATAAAAGATTTTGACCTCTTTGCTTTATTCCTCATAATACAAGGACCCCAAAGAAAATTTCTCAAAATTTTGTTTATATTAAAATCTAATTACTTGCCTACAATATTCAAACTATAGCCTGAATAGTAAGTTAATCCCCAACCAATAATAAGAAGTTAATTCTCAATCATTCACTATAGTTGCATAATTACGGTGTGTTCAAGTCACATTATATTGGAAAATATATTTTGAAATATTAGATTGATAATGAATTTTTGGTTAAAAATGAGTAAAAGAATAAGAATGCGAATTTTAATGTGACTCAAACAGAGGACTTAGTCTCAAATGACCAAAATTATTTAGTAAAATTGCTAAAAGATTCGAGGCCAAGGTTTTCACGAAGGTCATGCGATGATTTGACGAAGATTTGGATGTTTGGTCACTTGAGGCGAGTTTGCAACAATTCTAAAACTTAGGGGCCAGCTTACTATTTAAGTAATAGGTTGAATACCAATTATGCAAATTTCTTAATTAAGGAAATAAATTCAACACTATTCACCATTCTCTTATTTTTCAATCTCGCTCCATCCCTTATATTAAAAAAAAAATACTCACTAAATTGTTGTTGTAGCATCTAATCTAATCTAAATCGAATAAAAGTTTGGATCAAATCCGCATCTAACAGTGCAAACATGGGAGATTCTCCGGGCGATCGAGTCGCGGGAGATGATTTTGCCAGACTGGTGGAGCAGGCCAAGGAGTTGCAGGACGCGGCGGCGGCGTTAATCTCTCGCACTTCCCGCGAAGAAGACGAGCTCCGTCAGCGCGTTGCCTCACTCGACTCCCACATCCAGTCCCTCCGGAACTCGAAACATGACGACAAAGTACATAGTAGAGTAATGTTATACATGCATGTTCAGTGTTTGTTTATTTCTGATTTTGTTTTTATTTTTTTTTAGTGGGATGAGGAGCTGATTAAAGCGAGATACGTTTTGATTGAAGGAGATGCAGCGGCATTACTTCCGAGCAAATCTCATGGTGTGTTTTTTAATTTTCTTTTGTTCTGGTCTGCAGGTTTTGATATAGACGTGAGAATGAATTAGTGCTATTTATATACGCAGGAAACTTTTTGAGGATGTTTTTGGGGCCGATTAATGTTCGGGCTACTAGGAAAGATGTGCAGTTGAAAGTGAAGGATGAATATAATAAATTCAGAGTATGATTTTGACCAAAAATATGTCTTACCAGTTTATATTTTGCTTGAAAACTGTATCTATTATGTTAATATAAGTGTTGTTATTGCTGAAAATGCATTTAGTAGGTAATTTTAAGATTAAATTCTGGATTTTTGGGGGATATAAGCTTAGTACCCATGCATTTAGTCGAATAACAAAACAAAATACTTAGTACCCATGTTTACAATGATTTAAATGGTAAGCAATTGTTACTGTAGTTATGTAACGTCTAGCAGAAAGTTCTCTTGTATAGAGTCATCAAGGGGCTTATCATGTTAACACAAGAGAAGATATATGGAGTATATTATAACTCTATTTGCTGTTGATAATTCTCAATTGCACTTAGGCAAACTGACTATTTCTATCTTAGCGAGTTCGTTGTGAATTGTTCTTAAGAGATGTTGTAAAAGATACTCAAGATGCATTCCTGGTTGCTTCTAGGAAATATATCAGTTTATTTTGCCTTTTTTCCCTGTAGCCAACCCAAAATCTCCACAAGCTATCCTTTTTCTTCAAAAGTAGAACATAGGCTTCTGTATTGACCATATAATACAAGCCACCTTGGTTCATGGAGTCTCAAGATTGTAAGAACTCCAACCTATCTGTTGTTTACTCTTTCCTAATGGGAAAAGGGAGGCGAATAGTGCGCTATGACCTGTGACTGCCTGCCTGGTGGGCGTGACTCCTCTGTTGTGGTTGTGGGTAATAGGGCAGACAACTTTGCATTGGAGCCTAACCTGCATTGAGGATGAGTCGCGAGATTTGGATATTTTTCTAAAGAGCCGTCTTTTTTATTTCTACTATCATATGGATGTAGAAAAGGCCTATTGTAATTTTGATGAAATTGCGTCGTTGCTTGCAGAAATTGTCTCTTGATGGGGATGTAAAAATTCACTATAATGGTTCTCTTAATATTTGATGACGAAGCATTTGTGCATGTAAGATGCTTGTTAACTATTGATCATGTCTATTATCTCTCATGGCAGGATAGAACGTCATTTTTGTTCCTTTTTTTCCCATTGCTGCTGCTGATGTTAAGGTCATGGATTTGGGATGGATGTCTGCCTGCATTGCCAGTACAACTTTATCAGGTATACAGTGTTTTTTTTTCTCAATTTAATTTTTGTTGGCAGTCATGCCTTTTATGTGGAAGTATGCTGAGACTCTTTGCTTTCCTTCCTAATTTCTTTACTCCAGGCATGGTTGCTGTATCTCTACACAGGTTTGGCATTGAGAGAAAACATCCTGAGAGTTAATGGAAGTGACATACGTCCATGGTAATTCTATCGGATGATCTTTTTTTTGGGTGTATCTGATTGATTACTGTTTAGTTACAGATAGAACTCTAGACTGCTCGATGATAAACTGGAGGCAAGTCAATACAATTAATTTGTTTATGGCAAGTGCCACAGGACTTAATGCAGAACACAGAATGAGAGACTAAAATTTGGAGAACAAATGAAGAAATTCTCTAATTCAATTTCAATAATCAATAATAATGTCATGAATAAAATGAAAAATCTTGGTCCCCTTTATAGAACAAACACTTTAAGTCTAACTGAACTTCTAGTAAATAACGATGTGTTAATTAACAAAAACTAATAAAATTTAGTCTAAATCAAGTCTATTTTTTAATCTTGTTGCGCTTGGAATACAAATGGGACTATAGCACCTTATAAGCTCAGCCAAACATGCTATCTGTCGAACAGTAACTTCTTCCGCAAGATACTTGTGGTGCTATTTTGATAAATGAGAATCTAGGTGGGGGAAATTGTACTTTTTTTTTTTTTGAATAATATGTTGAAATTCAAACCACCTATTATTTGGCAAATTGTTGGGCAATTTTTCTTGATCTTTCTAATTTATTTTCTGAGCAGTGATTTGGTTAGTGCAAGATTTCTTTGAGCTGATAGTTTGTAGCGGTTAATACTAAAAGGTGCCGAAGTTGGTCAGATGGGTTACTTTATGCCCGTTTAGGCATCTCATTTTAGGAAAAAGCTACATTTTTGGAGAGGTGTAACTGGTCGTTCTTCTCGTTAGACTCAGTTTCTTATGACTATGGTAATCAACCTCATTTTGTTTGGGAGTTATAAATTTCTTGAAGAAGTATTTTGTGCCCTCGTTGTGTACAAGTTGCACCGTCATTGAAACAACACTGCCGCATTAAAACTTGAAAGTAAATAAAAGGCATAAAAGTTGGGAGATTATGAGAATTATGGAGCTACATTGTCCAATATGATGTGTATAATTGAGTTGAATATGTGATATCAACTTAACTCAGCCAGTATTTCTTAAGCTTCTTAATTGCTATATTTAGATTCTTTCTTATACTTGCTAAATGTTAGATCTTTGGTGTTCAACTTTCTCATGCGCTCTCTTTAATTGCCAACTAAAGATGGAAGAGTCTCAATAGTGTGCCTGCTTGCATACGTGTTTTCTTTCACGTTGTCTCTCTTATGTTCATTAAATTTCACCTCTGTTACCTATCAAAAAAAATTCACCTCTGTTACATGCACAAGACATTGAATATTTTGAAGGCATCATGATTTTACTTCTACAGGTGGATCAAACATCATTATTGTGCTATGGCTATGGCTCTTATAAGTCTTACTTGGGAGATAGAGAGGGGACCTGATTGTGCCCAGAAACAGGTGTTTATGCGTTGTCATTTTTCTGCACAGAATGCACACCAACCTGACAGCTCAAAAGTTTCTGTTCATGTCTTCCATGCTTAGTTTCGTCCTGTTTCTTTTCTTTTCTTCTGTTTTTGTTGGATAATCGGAAATCAAATTGTTCATCGCAGAGAGGTGTACATTTGTTTCTAAAATGGGCAATTATGCAAGGAGTTGCAATGATTCTCCAGAATAGATACCAAAGGCAAAGACTATATACACGTATTGCTCTAGGCAAGGTGAAGCTTCAAAATCAAGTTTTTCCAACAAGTTATTTTGTGCTTTTTCTTCTCTCCCTGACTGCTTGAGTTTTAAAAGTTGTGGAGTTATCCTTGATTCAAAATTATATTAATTCTGATGAAGTTACGGCTTTCCATGCATAAGGTTTTATCAAGACATGTAAACGAGTACAACAAGTTCGTTCAATGAATTTATACTTTTGCATGATTGTTTTGCCTCAAATGGGAGAGAGGTGAGCATTTTGCTCATCTTTCAGCTATAACTAATTTATTTTCAGAATTTACTGTAATGTGGATCTGATAGAGGTCCCAGCCTCTTCATCCTACCATAATTGTTGAAGCTGTGGTAAATCTATTGCTTAAGAACACATTCTGGTATCTAAGCCAGAACTCTGGCTGACATGGAATTTTTTCTTCCATCACTTTCTTGCAAGGTTTTTACATTGCTTTATTTGAGACATTTTTGAGATATTGCTTTTGCTTGAAGGCCAGGAGAATGGATGTTGTCTGGGGAGAAACTGCTGGAGTGGAGGGTCAGTTACTGGTGTTGTGCCCTGTACTCTTCATCTTGCAGGTATTGAAGCTGCTCGACTGTTAGTTTCCACGGAAGCATGAATTTTTGCTTTAGATATTAAAATATGCGTCTGTTGGAAAAGATGCTATCTCTAGAGGTCAGATTGGGGAATGCCATTTCAAGACACTGAATCTTCTCGATGGATACAAATTTTTCATCCGTATATTCCATGCTCAGCACCGTGTTTTTTCCTTTAAATTCAGGAGAGGATCCAAGTTACACTGAGCATTTTGCTTATGGTTTCAGGGTTTTGAAGCATATGTTGGAGTTTTATTGCTTAAAACTGCACTTGTCGGATTCTTCTCTGAGTGGCAGGTAGATAAAATTATTAAATGCACAATCTTGTGAATAATTTTATATGATTATCTTTGCTTATTTTTACATTGCAAGTCGACTGCCAACCCTTGGTTTTATTTCATTTTTTGTTCAAACAGTTTGTTTCATTTATATTTTATATCACAGTAAATCTGGTGTTATAATTCACCAATTTGGCTATTTCAGGTGATTACTTGTGGGATTCTTCTGATTATCATGGCTGTTGGAAATTTTGCCAACACGGTGCAGACACTTATGACAAAGTCTCGTGTTAAAGCAAAAATTAAGAGGGAAAAAGCAGGCAAGAATTAAATCAGGGATCTTAATGGCAAGTACAGACTATTATTTATTGAGGCTGTGATAACGTGAGGATTTAACAACTTTAAGCAGATTATATTGCATCGGCATTTTAACCTTCTATGCATAAGCAATTAGCAGTGACCTTACGAAAAATCAGACTTTTATTAGTTTGTAACAGTTGTAACAAAAACTAATCACCCTCTTTTTGTGAGCACTTAAAAATCCGTATGTGTAGTCATGTCTAGTACTGCATGCTGAATATGCACTTGAGACTTAGTTTACCCCAATCATGTGCGTTATTTTGGTTTCAAATGAAAAGAAGTTTTGTACCTTAGAACATGAGTCAACTGGTTTCATGTAATAAATGAGGTGTGCCGTGTGCACATATTACTCCAGATGTTTGATAATGCTTGTGGGATGCGTGATTTATGATATGTTAACTTTGATACTTTTGAGTTTTGATAAACTATTTTCTTTATTCCCATAAAAGTTGATTTTTTTTTCCTATCATGTAATGATATATCTCGTGATCAAATCTTTGCAATTGCAGGAAAGTGGGAGCAAGGCATGTTTCAGTCATCGAAATTGTTCTTTAGCATTGGAAAACAAATGGACCGGAAAACTTAAGAAATGGCTGTCAGCTGTCCATATTGTAATAACAATAAAGTACAAAGCAATTAATATTTGTTTTAATTATTACCAACCACGAACCACCTCAACAAACAACAAACTTGACCATAAAGTCACTACTAATGATAACTGCATTTCCACTCTAATATGATACGAGTTTTAAGATACTAGATCGTACTTTACTTGTCTCAAGAAATTATTTTAATTTCACTTATCATTTAATGTCACATTAACGCTAACTAGACTGTGTTTGTAACCTCACTGTGAATGAATAACATTACTTTAAAAAAATTGCAGTTATTAGATGAAAATTTGATGCCTATAACTCACTTTAATCAATAAAAATACTATTAACATTGAAAAAAGAAACATGCTGAGTTCAAAGGAAAACTAATGGCAATCACAGTCCAGTGCCTTTCCTGTCCATAGTGATTGTAACAACCATCATGATTGCCAACTGCAAATGGGTCTCTCTGATGGCTCGATCTAAATAGAGGTGTCAAATTTGTGGACCAGTCCAGGCTGTCGCGGCAAAAGCTCAGCCTAGAGCAAGCCTGGCTTCAGGGGCCTGAGGTCGGGGTGGCCAAACGTAGAGGATTAAAAAACAAAAGGTGAAAACCAGCAAGCGGATGCAACCCGAACAGCAGAATCTGAGGGAGTTTGCTCAAGACTTTTATGCTCCATAGCTTAAAATTATATCTTGAAATTTGATTTGTTGTGGGCTGAATATGCTGATTAATGTATAAAAATGAATTCTTGGTTATGAGTATCAAGTATGCTAGTCTTAACTCGATTTAATGAAGTCTATTTTACTTTTTCACTCTATCAATAGTTATTTTAAAATAGAAATTACAAAGCCAAAACCCATCTACTTATATGCCTAAACAGGCTCGAACGATTCTCTGATTTCTCCTACAAATCTCTCCTCTCACCTTGCAAGACTAATCTACCTTAACATTTTCGTCTTGATGAAACTGACTTTGTAAATGAAATTCATCAAGAGTCATCTTTGTGCTTAACTAGTGTTTTTCTTCTTCTAATTTATATTGATACATATTACCATATCAGTTTAACTACGAGTTTCATGTGTACAAGCTATTATTTTCCAGATAAATCAAGTCTAGAATAGAGAAACCGATATAGTACCCCCAGAGAAGACCAGATCAAGATTTCTGACTAGAATTCAACACGAGTGCTGTGCAAGGTCTTTAGCTTCTCCAGCTCCTCCCCACTTGCAATTCCAGGATCAATAAAACACAACTGAAACAGAAACCATCATTACCAACTTATTCAAACAGAATGAGAAAAATCGAGATTTACATAATGGATGACAACCTGATATTGGTCTTTCTTTAGTGTATGGACACCTCTTTTTATTAGCTTTTGCCATCCAACGTTCTCTTTAAGTGATTTTTCCAAAGCTCTTGTTTTCTGGAAAGACAATCACAAAAATACTTCGAGAAGTAAAATTGCCAGAACCCTAGAATTTCTATCAAGTGGTCTATAATCATGCTGAATAATTTCTATTTTCACAAAATGTGGCATTTGCATCAAAAAACAGAATCACATAAAAGAGGATTTTTTACGCTTCCGTGGAAACCCAAAAACCACAAATGATGACATTCTACATTTGAAAGTGTTTTGATTAGGAGCATTCCAAAATTTAGCGACATAATCATAGGAGTGGCTGTGGTTTCAACGTATCAACTGCATAACAAAGCAACTGCTAGAATTATTTAACCCTGCGTGTTTCGAACTGTGAGTGTTTAGAACTCCGAAGACTGTAAAAACACACAGACCACAATACAACTACAGCTATGAACATATTGCACTGATAACATGTGCTCGAGGAATAAATGAATCTGATGATAATTATACGAAAGTGTCACAATAGGCAAATTATTACACCTACTTCATCCAGGAACCTGATATCAATTTGAAGCCAAGTAAGGCAATAATATTATATTCACATGAACAGCCATTAGCGGATCATGGTATTTTAGGAGAAACATTATGCAAGTTAAACTTTCAAATGAATGCAAATGTGTATACTTACACTGGAAGGGTCCAAGATTAATAAGTTGCAGTGCTGCATCCTGTTTATCTGATGTTGAACCTGAATGCCAATGATGGTTCTTGAGTGGCCATCATGTTGGAAGTACAAGGGCCTGCTCAACAAAGCTCATAAACATTACATGGTGTGTATTTACAAATAGAAAAGAGTATCCATTTTCACAGTCAATATGCAGCCAACATGCCAAGAAGGCTCCGAAAACTAAATGAAATTTGCTTACGGTTTCCCACTAAGGACAACACGCCGATTGCCAGATGGGATGGGATTGTTGTCAGAAAAGTAATTCCATACCCAATCAATAAGAACCTGATCACCCTTTTTATTGCCCAAGGGGATGCTAGAACTTCCTTCACCAGATGAAACTGCGTCAGGAATTTTTGAATCCCTCTTCGACAGAAATTTATCCATTGGTCCATAAACTTGCATAACCTTCCTTTTGCCCACATTTTTATCTAAGCTTATATCATTGCCACAAAAATCCACTATCCTGGCACGAAGACCAAATGAACGAAAAAGTGCAGCGCACTCGGTGGTTCCAATCCAATTTCTTCTTCCATAAATGTTGTGATCAAAGTCATTTGAGCCAAGTGTATCAAAACCTCTTTCCCAAGCTATTTCAAGCCATCTTTGTAAGGAAGCAATATCGGGTACAAAGCTAGAACCACCATACAGAACCTCCCTTGCTTCTTGTCTCTGTTTAAGTAGATGAGAACTAAGCATCTGAATATTACGCCACCCACACCCCCACCCAACATCCTCTGATTCGACACTCTGAAAGTGATCAACATATCCAGACAATATACTTGTTGCGTTCTTTGAGTCTAATTCTAGACACTTTGCCAACAAAGACATCAAGCCGTCTTCAACTTGGCAGAAGCTCTCCTTGATTTGTGACTCTACTAAATAACAAATTTTTTCATCAGTATCTATCCTTCTGCTGGTAGTTCCCTGGGCATCACATCTAAAAAAACCACTCTTGGGGTTGTCCCTGGAACTATTTATATGTTCTACGGAATTGTCAACCTGATCATAACAAGGAATTTCTCGTAATATTTAAAATGCAACAAGGAAAATGGCATACTATAAGAATTAATATAGCAAAATACCTAACCACCAGAGCTTAAGTAAGAAGACTCAATAAACAAACTACTTAGACAATGTATCCTAACATGATGCACATTATATAATATAAATTCTAGGTTGTTTTATAGTTTCAGTTACTTTCGTCGCTACAAGTGATCACTTCTTCTGATTCCTTGTGCATTTCAATTCAAACATTATAATTCCAAAATTGGTAATAACGTGTCTCCACTTTTAGAGGCAATATGTTCATTGAAAATAACAGACAAGTATATCACAAATGAGCGGGAAGCCTTCAATGAAGAAATTTCCTTTCTATTTCTTCCAAACATTTCTGTCCTTGCTATCAAATATTGTTCCTAACATTGCTTTTTGCTGTTTGTATATATTTAATTTTGTGTAAGATTGTGTAATACATTCCTTAATTCTTTGTACGGAAAAGATCCTTGATGTAATCTTTTGAAGATAAGGTTACATGTCCCCCTCTATGTACTCTTTTTCGAATAATTTACTAGGTAGGAATAATGCCAAAACCCCATTCAAGTTCGCGTAAGAAGGCCAAAAAACCCTTACTTGCTCCTAATAAATTGATAAAACTATATACAATAGTTTGTGGTCAGCAAAGCACAGGTCATTGTCCCAAATAATGCCGAATCCAGTCATATTCAGTACTTAGTCAATATATTGCCTGATAAAATTAATATGGTAAGTTACAAATTGAGCAAACAAACAACAAATTCTGAGACAAAAGCACTTAATTATAAACCAAAAAATTAAAATAAAATTCATAATTAATACACGATTAAACAGACAGTTCTCTTGTGCATATAAAAAAATGATATTTATACACAATTATAATTATAGATACATAAACGCGTACATATATACATACAAATGGGGGAGCAAGAGAGATTTGAAGCGCAAGTTCGAAGTCTCGGGCGTTTTCTTCATCGTCCAAGTGATTATTAGCATGTCTGTATAATGGAAATTTAATTAAAGAATAAAGCTATTTGTACAATGGAAATTTAATTAAAATATATTGTTGAAGAATTCAAAAAACACCGGAAAATGGTGGAACTTAAAAATTGTTTGTTTGAACAACATCCAATTCAAAATATACCTCTCGAGTTCCAGAGATGGTACTGTTAAATTACAGAAGGGACAAGCGGAAAATTCCATTGAAAAAATTGGAAAATTTAAGATTGCAGCAAGAAATGCAGGAGAAGATGGCGTTGTTTCGGAAATCGGAACAATGAAAGAAAAAATCGCGATATATTGGTCCATTAAATAAATTTTAATTTCGGGAAAGTATAATTGACGAAATTAGCATCAAGTACCAATTTTCAGGCTTTCAGTATTAGGATTTAGAAGTGCCCCCGTTTTTGGGCCTGTTTTTCACTCTGTTTGAGTAGCATTATACTAGGAGTTATTGGCTACGTTTGATAGATAAAGGTGAAAAAAATTTCAATTACATGTTAGTTGAAAAATAAAAATTCATCAAATTCGTAGGAATTCGGTTTCCATGAAAACGAAGAAAATGCAGTTTAAAGTGGTTGTGTCTTAAAATTCGATTTCCATTTCCACGTTACAATCAAACGGCAAAAGTGGAATTCGTTTTCCTCAAATGTAATATTTTTCATGAAATTCGTTGCAATCAAATAGGATCTAATAGAGAAGTTGCTGGACTATCTCTGCTTACGAGTGAAATGTTTTCTATTTTAAAGAATCAATCATTTAAATTATAGTTTTAAAAAAATTTAAATTAACATTTTAGAATAGAAAATGAGATTGCCTTTCAAATTAAATATATTTAAGAGAAATAATATAATATGAAAAAAAATACATAATTACCATAATTTAAAAGTACACTTTAAAAAAATAAAAAACTCGTGAAATTCTTTTCAAACATCAAGTAGTCACATTTGTGACCATCTGATAAAGACTTTTTTGCAACCATCTGATAATTTTTTTGACCAATTTATTAATTAAATAGATTAAAATCATGATAACATACATTTTATAGTTATAATTGCTCACTAGTCACAAATCACACAACATCATTCACGAAAACATAAAAAGTGGGACATTGATTAAACAATTTATATAGTACAATCAGAAAACTTTGTGTCGAATAATGCAAAGCAAATTATTTGTAAATTAAGGAAATCTACCTATGGACTCAAACAAACTTCTCGTCAATGGTATTTGATGAAACAATTTATATGGTGCAACCAGAAAACTCTGTATCGAATGATGCAAAGCAAATTGTTTGTAGACTAAAGAAATCCATCTATGGACTCAAACAGGCCCCTCGTCAATGGTATTACAAGTTTCATCAAGTGATCATCTCGTATAGTTTTGAGACGAATTTAGTCGATGATTGTATATACCACAAGTTCAGTGGGAGTAAGTATATTTTTTTGGTTTTATATGTCGATAACATATTGCTTGCCGCAATGATATAGGCTTATTGTACGAAAATAATAGATTTCTAGCAAGGTATTTTGAAATGGAAGATTTTGTTGACGTGTCTTTTGTATTAAGAATTTAGATACACCGGGATCGTTCTCGTGGTATTCTTGGATTATCACAAAAGAGATATATCGAAAAGGTACATAGGGGGTGTTTGTTTTTTATTTGAGAATTGATTTTCAACCACACATTTTTCAATAAAATAATATTTTTCATCACATCAATAATTTTTTCTTCTTTTTCAACCACACATTTCCCATCATATCACTATTCAAAAATTAATTATTCCCCAAAAAATTCCTACCAAACAAGCTCTTAAAAGATTTGGCATGCAAGATTGTAAATCAGGTGACACCCATATAGTTAAAGGAAACAAGTCCAATTTAAGTTAATGCCTCGAAAATGACTTGAAAATTAAAGAAATACAGAAGATTTCGTATTCTTCAGCTATAGAGAGTCTGATTCCGATTTCGCGGGAAGCCAAGATAGTAAGAGATGTAATACCCAGATCGGGAAAGCTTAAAAGATTTGATGGGTGCTATTCATACCAACAAGGTGCACCTTCTTTTCCAAAAATCCATCGTTAGAAACTCTACAGTTAAGTGTGCTTGGCTTGGAGCAATTCTATGATGGGTGACCCCCTGTGAAGTTTTCTTGGAAAGCGTGCGAGTGAAGATAAAGTATGCTGAAAAAACTCATATTGATACAATGGGGATAGTACATCGTCGATCTAACAACCGGGACAACTCGTTAAGTGGGACCCGAATTGTTACAGGAGATCTACTTCAAGCTATATCTACCTGCTTGCTGTAGGTGCTATTTCCGAAAGAGTGCTAAGCAAACACCAATAGCTACTTCCACCATAGCAGCAGAGTTTATAACATGTTAATAGGCATCAAACCATGAAATATGACTGCACATTTCAAGCTTATATTGTTATTAGAATACAATACTGCGAATTTATCGTCACTTAGTTGCACATTATGGACAGTATAGAAGGACCACTCAAGTTATTATGTGACAATAAATTAGCAGTATTGTATTCTAATAACAACAGGAGCTTCGAAAAAGTCAAAACATATAGAGATCAAGTTTCAATTGTTAAAGAAAGAGTTCAGAGTGGACATGTATCAACAGAGTATATCGGGACAAACTCCATAGTTGCGGATCCGCTTACTAAGGGATTGATATCCAAGTTCTTTCAGCGCACACTATTCATATGGGTGTAATGTCTCTTAAAGATATCTAGTTTCAGTGGGAGTTTGTATTTCTGTGTTTTTCATATTAGACACGTATACTGTCATTTTGGATATAGATTATGGTTAAAGTTATTTTCGATTATAAAGTTTTTGATTTATTATCTTTGAACTTATTTGAAAATGATTTCACTAAGGTGGACCAATTGAAAATATGCATGTTAAGATCTCATCACATGTAATTTCCATGCTACACATCCATGTTTGATCAATGTCATTCAGTTATGTCGATATACGTGATCATTGATAGATTTAGTTACAATAAAAGTAGTGAAAACTACTTTGATCCTAGTTGATATGATTGATGGATCAGATTGTTTGGGGATGCATTCAGCAATGATAACAACATTTTGAATACTCATAAGGTTATGTTTAATGCACAATTCTAAGGTAACACATATAATCCAAATTGGAAATTGTAAGAATTTTTTAATCGATCATGTGAGCTTATATGTGAATTATTGTATGTTAAATTAAAAACTATCAATTTTAGTTAAACTTGTTTAAAGTGATCTAATAAGGTATCAGTATTTTGGGTTTTGAAGCATCTATTTAAAGTATAGATCTTTATGTGTAGAGATCAGGCATATTCCTAATTTTATGATGGGCCAAATTAGGTTAACAAACCGTTAGTATATATACACAGTTATGGTCCTCGGATCACACATGAATAATTGTTCATTCTGTTCTGACTCCCATCATTATAAAGAAATAAAGGAACATTGTGTTAATCTGGAAGACTAAAATCTCAAGACTCACTCGTTGCATTAACCATGTCTGATTCGGGTACGCTTCCCCTTTGGTTCATGAATTCTTGATGATCCAACATGAAATATCATTGTAATGGTAATGATTTTCCCAACAGTAGAGGCGATGCACCAACAAAACCACGGTTGCGCGATCACACCACAATCCAAACAAGTGATGCCCAAAACAGCAACAAGCATTGTCCTAACACACTTGAGAAACACAAAGATGGCATCAATTTCACTGGCGAGGAAACAAAGAAGACCTTAAGCTTGAAGGAAATGCAAAATGGGAGAAGAGGTAGCAGGATGGGCCATAATGGGCATCCAACATGCGGTGGTCAGTGGTAGGCATCGATGGCATGGATCTTGGAAACGGGGAGGTTTTGGGAAGAATAGAGAGAACATAAACATATATGGTAAAGAGAGAGATATGGTAGACGTCCAGTAGGCGATGGATAATGATGGTGTGGATCTGGGCGTCAAGGATGGAATTGAGATGGGTTTAGGGTTATGGTTATAGTTTATGCGGGTGGAATAGGTACATAACGGGTTGGTGATGATCGACAGTGGTCGAAGTGGTGTTGGCCGACAGTGGCGACGACGTGACAATGGTTTTGGGAGTGGCTGTGTGTTGTGACTTGGGGAAATGGATAAAAGGATAGATGCGGGATGCGAGTTATGGTAGAGTGTAATATATATATAATTTTGAAATAATAAAGTTGAAGTCTAATTTTTGAAATGGTAAGTTAAAAACCATGGTATGTGTAATATTCTCATATAATAATTTAGATAAAAGTTGATGAAAATAAAATATAGGGATGATTGCAGCAATAGTACCAAACTTTTCATTTAGTAGTTGACTTTGTCAAAACATTTCATTTGTACCACCCACGGTACCAAACCTTTCATTTTTGCCACCAACGGTACCAAACATTTCAAAATATCCGCATCTGAATTTCAAATGGATGGTTTCTATTAGTTTGACCGTTAGTTGACCAAATAGTTGACTTTGACAATAATGTTAACTGATTTTAAAAGGTTAAAATGATGAATTTACATTTTTTAATAATAAAATAACCATAATCAAATAATTAAAATTAAAAACTCATTCCACCTTCTTCTTCTCCATCCACACCACCCCCACTTCCCACCTAAATCAGAGAGAAGTATTCAAAGAATGACAGTCAGAGAGAGAGAGAGAGAGTGGATGAATGAATGAAACCCTATAAATTGACCCTCGAAATAATGTCAAATGAAATGACATTAAGTATTAAAATCATCCAGAAGCCAATCCAACGGCCACATTCCGTCCACATGTCATATATCTAGTAATAAGCTTGAATAAAAGAGTTATATTTGCCAAAACATGATTTTACCAAATTTGAAAACGGTCAATTGAACCCAGTTCAATTCCAACATGTTCTTATTTTTTCTACATATAGTGTTGGATTCATTTTTATTCTTTATTTTTTGTTTCCTTTGACTTTCTCCACCCTTCTCAACTTTTATGGACAAATGAGTTTTTTTTTTAATAACGTCAGTAAATAGCATTATACTAGGAGTTATTGGCTCCATTTGATAAGTAAAGGTGGAAAAAATTTTAATTACATGTTAGTTGGAAAATAAAAATCTATCAAATCCAAAGGAATTCGTTTTCCATGAAAACGAAGAAAATGCAGCTTAAAGTGGTTGTGTCTTAGAA